GGCAGGTGGATGAATGGTATTGAGCTGGTAATCCTATGTGGATTAGAGCCCCTTGTTTTCAGACCTTGTTATAACGGATAAAACATCTTAGAAGGAGAAAGTGCTAATCGTGTTAGGGAGATGAAAATGAGGACTGGAGCAACACTAAGGTGACCTTCCCAGAACACTGGCACACGCTCCTGGAACATCAGCATTTGCACACATTTCTGTAATCAGGTTGCAGCCTCCTCTCTCATCTGTCATCTAAAAGGCCATCTCATGCACCGTTTTAAACACTTTTTTCAGTAATGAGAAGCTTAACCAGAGAGAAAAGCTACAGTTCTGCTTACCACATATACCAAATGACAAATGTGTTAAGCTCCTGAACGTACTTAGCAACTTCCTGCAGGGTAACTCAAAGAACTTTTCATTTACGTTGAGCCCGGTTGTCACCGAACTTTCGCTGTTTCCTAGCACTAGGCTGAAACAGGTTGGGAAGCTGCCATTAACCATTTTCAGGAAGCCCCCCTCAAGGTCACTTGGGTGCCATTTAATAAATTAGTGTTCGAGTGGGCTAACTTAAAGTTCAGGAAGTAACTTAATCCCTAGGACACTCTGACTCATCGTCTGCTTTGTCCCCACAATAAAATCTGAACTCGAGACCTGTGCACCAAGGCTTTTAAAAGGGCTCTCTTGCCTTTTGTTAATCCAAAATAAACAGGCCTGTTATTTCAGGCCTGTTTTTCTGAAATAAAAGATGGGAAGACGGAAAAACCATGACTTAGATTGTTCAAGACTTTATATTAGGTCAACTCACATTTCTTCAGTGCAGCCTCATACTACATGCCATGCATGGCTTGTGTAGGAGCTGGGGGCATAATAAAGGCCAAATCCCTAAAGCATATCATTTTGCTTTTAAGTGTGAGGCTGTTGCTGAGAGTTACTCAAAGCTATGCAGAATTTCATGCTGCAATGAGTTAATGAAACCATCCATTCCTCCTTCACAGTGTATCAATGTCATATACATATAAATTTCCCTTTTCTCTGACCTAAGCAAAGTGTACTACATATAGTTTTTCATTTTGAGAAAAAGCAGATACTTTTTGGATCAAAAAGAGAGAGAATTACTTTGCCCCACACTGATGAAGACAGAGTTTTTGGAATCATCTCTGATTGTAAACAATAGGACTGACACCTGCATTCTAAAAATCATCTACCTGAAACCTTCCTTTGAGGCAGGTGGCTTGGATTAAATACACCTTCTCATCTAGGCATCAGCAAATCTGTATTTCCAAATGCAACTTTGCTGAATAGGATCATGTTCACAGAGTCTTACCTCATATTGGCTGAAGAAGTTGTGTGGGTTTATTTTCTGAGTTTATGTGTCATGGAACTTTATATAAATGGAAATCCTAGTGTTTCTATTGGACTTCAGGCCATTGGAGATTATTTCAAAAATTCCACATATATACTATATACTTCTTTTGTAAGAGTAGGCTTCTTTTTCAGCAGGTAGTGAGATGGACCTTAATTTGTAAAAATAAATAAATAAATAAATAAATAAATTTGTAAACCTGTGTTTGGAAGATTGCAATTCTCCAATGAGAGTAGGTTACAGGCAATATTGTGGAATCTTTACCTGAGAGCTTTTGAAAAATAACTGACAGTTGAATGTATTTCATCTCAGACTTGTCTGTCTTGTTCTCCAGGGTTCCAGTTACATTGATGCATAATTTTCCTTATACTATCTATTCCTTAAGAAGTGGCTAGGGGTTCTTGACAAGGACCAAAGGAATCCAAAGATTAGAACCCAACTTTACTCCAGGGATTGGCAAACTGTGGCTTGCAGGCTGATTAAAGCCTGCTGTCTTTTTTGGAAAGAAAAGATTAACTGAAATATAGCCATGCTCATTTGTTTGCTTATTGTCTGTGGCCACTTACATGTGACAATAGCAGATTTAAGTAGTTGCAACAGAAACCATGTGGCCTCCAAAGCCTAAAATATTTACTATCTGGGCCTTCAGATAAAACATTTGTAGACTTTGGCTTTATTCAATACAGTTCAGATATGTATAACATAACATAACATAACATAACATAATATAAAGTGTGTATATGTAATATAGTATACTATAATGTAAACAGTATTTTTGGTTCTTCTGACCCCCAGAAATTAATTAATGGGATGTGAAGATAAGTGAATTACTATTGATAACAGTTTTATTTCTGCATTCCAGAAATATAACAATGATTGGTGGATAGGAAGGCTGGTAAAAGAAGGCTGTGAGATTGGCTTCATCCCAAGTCCACTTAGACTGGAGAACATACGGATTCAGCAAGAACAGAAAAGGGGACGTTTTCACGGAGGGTAAGGCTCCTTCCTTCTTACAAACTTATTTTGGGAGGTGAGTAGAAAAATAAGATGATGTTTTCAAGTTTGCTTATTAGGTTAAATATGTATGCTTTGAGGGTAAAAGGTACTTTTCTGTGTACGAGGTGTTTCTGACATTGACACAGAGGGGTTTCAGAGAGTTCACTCTCCCCACCGCATGCTAAAGCCTGACATCACTGGCATTGACATGAATTCCACAGTGGAGACTTGTCTGTGGCCTCAGCAAAGCCTCCTGGAAATTAAAGCTCTCCTCGGTGAGGATCATGGGGCATTCTTTCCCAGTACTGGGAACCTGACCTGATCTGGCATCAGGGCTCTTCCTGGTTAACTTTCAGAGAGACTCTCTCAAGTGGGCATGGAATGCAGTGGTACATGGGGCGCCATCCCAAGACTAGAGACATCGCCTCCAATCACGGCACCTACCATCTCTTGATCATGGTTAGACTCGGTCTAACCTCAGATGTAACCTGTGGTACACTCACGAAATAGCCGCAAAAATCTCAGAGTGCAGGTGTTTGTAGGTCCCAAAGATATAAGCAAAGCCTGAGAAAAGAAATCAGAATCATCCTGAACCTGCATATATTGAGAAGCTACATTGAAGCATGAATTTAATATGTGTTTCCATTTTTTGAAAGACCTAAAATAGAAGCGGTTCTTTCTCTTGACTCTCACTTCCTTTTTCCATTGGATCTTTTTCTGCTTCAAAAACTCCTCTGTTCTTTAGAGGAGCCCTTTTGCCTTTGTCTTCATGGGAACTTCTTAAATAGTGGTAAAACATCACAAAGGTACAGTTAGCCCCACTTTTAATTATCAATCTTCTTTAGTATATAACATGCCTATAATATTATTAATTATTAATTCTTCTTAGCCCTTCTTCTCTTGTTTTGTCTCTGTTGCTACTCCTTAAATACACGACGAACACATGTTGCTGCTTTAGGACCTTTGTTCTTGCTAGTTTTTTCTTATTGGAACCCCTTTCTTCATATTTCCACCAGCTCACTCCTTCATCTGCTTCAGATCTTTGTTAAATACGATCTTTTCAGTGACCCCTTTTCTGCCACCATCTTTAAAATTGTACCCACTTCCCTTCCCTTACTTCCTATCTCTCTCCTGACTTAGTTTTCTGTATTGCAGTTTTTACTGTCAGAAATACTATGTACTTACCTGTTCACCTGTTTGATAGTGATATCTCCCGCAGCAAAATCTGTCCCTGTGAGGGGCGCCTGGGTGGCTTAGTCGGTGACTTTCGCTTAGGTCACGATCTCGCGGTTCGTGGGTTCGAGCCCCGCGTCGGGCTCTGTGCTGACTGCCTGCTCTGAGCCTGGAGCCTTTTTCAGAGTCTGTTTCTCCCTCTCTCTCTGACCCTCCCCTGCTCACGCTCTCTCTCTCTCTCTCTCTCTCTCTCTCCTAGAAATAAATAAAAATATTAAAAAAAAAAATCTGTCCCTGTGAGGAAGGGATTTTGTCTTTGCCCCTATTGTTGTATTCCTGGCTTCTAGAACAGTGGATACTCAATAAATATTTGTTGAATGAAATAATAAATGAACTATATCATTTCCAAAGTTGTTATTTTATTATTACTATTTCATAATGTTATTATGTACATTTAAATAAAAGCTTTTTTTGTGTGTGTGTGACAGGCCAGGAGTAAAACCAAGAGCTCACAGACATGATCTTATACAATACTGTGAGGTGTAACTTCTGTAGCTAGGGAAACTAAGGCTCAAAGAATATGGAATATGGAATATGATGTGCCAAGTTTCCACAACTAGTAAGTGGCAAAGCCAGGATGAGAAATGAGATAGTTCTGACCCTAAAGACCATACTCTCAAGCACTGAAAGTGAAGAGCACTGGAGAAGTAGGAAGGTGGGTTCCCAAAGGGCCTCTGTGGGCTCCTGGGAAGCTTCCAAAGCAACAAGGAGACCAACGGAACAATTGCCCAATGGGTCACCAATAATATTTTTTGTGACCAAATCCTTACCATTTTTTCTTAATTCTGACTCCCATTTATGTTTAAAGTTTATTTATTTTGAGAGAGAGCTGACACTGTTAGTAAGGGAGGGGCAGAGAGAGAGGGAGAGGGAGAATCTCAATCAGGCTTCACACTGACTGTCAGCATGGAGCTCAATATGGGGCTCGAACCCAGGAACAGTAAGATCCTGATGTGAGTCGAAATCAAGAGTCAGATGCTTAACCGACTGAGCCACCTGGGCACCACCCATAAAGTCACTTTTAAAAAAAAATTTTCCTCTAGGTCTTATAGCTGTTTTGAGCTGTGTTTGACATCCGACTAGTGCACTGGTGACTGCTCTTAAGCATCAGTTCACAAGCGTATCTCTGTCAGTGATTTTTCTGCCTAATTTCTGGATTGAATAACTAGGAGAGATACTTTTGCAAAGTATTTCCAGGTCCCAGTTTGTTCCTCACTTTCTCTGAGAAATAGGTCAAAGACAACATTTGGACAGATTCTTGAAGTTCTTCTCCAAAGCAGGATTTGGTGTGTTTTGAATTATTTAGTAGAATTTAGGCCAAATAAAGCTTTGTACTCTCAAGTTCTATTTTCATGGAATCTGGGGAATGAGTCCTAAGTTCCTTTTCTATATCCTAGGAAATCCAGTGGGAATTCTTCTTCAAGTCTTGGAGAAATGGTATCAGGGACATTTCGAGCAACACCCACATCAACAGGTGAGAGGTTTAGGTTTTTTTCTTTTAGTGGAATGTCTTTTTTCTTAGTATTTGAACATACATACAGTAGTTTTACTAATTTGGAAATAACTTAAGGCTTTGATTTAAAGATTCTTCTACTTAACTCTTCATTGCTCATTTGCTTTCTATGGTAATATGATTTGATTTAAAAGGTACTTGTGATACTAACAATTCAAATCATTATAATCTAATTTTGAAAAATCTTGTTTACCCCCCACAGCCAGTAACTGTCCATTGTGCAGACCAATCTGAAGCAAGTTCATTATTCCACCCAAGAACCCAACAGACTTTAAGATGGTGAAAGCCAATTAAAAAGGAAAAAAAAAGTTGTAGACTCTCAAGTAAATGCTCTATTTCAGTCTCCCTGGGGAACTTTAAGATGGTATAGCCTGGGCTGTGGAGATTGGGAAAATTGAAGCAGAAAACGGGTCCAGATGACCTCATTTCTATTTGGAAAGCAGATAGCCAAGCTCTAGAATTCATGGAAATGAAGGGACAGTGGTGGTCCAATCAAGAGTTGTTATATATTTGATAATTATGGAGACATTCAAGCAGGAATTTTCCTTCTACCACGTTCCCTGACTCCTATTGTCTAATTTGTTCTGGCCCAGAATTGATGCTGCCTTAGGGCATCCAGTATTACCAACTCAGAAGGACAAGTGTAACGTCTAGCCCATAACTAGCCCATTCCTACCATAACTGCAGGAAACGTGATTGGTTCTGACGTAGTTCTGAGTGCTGGGTCCTTGCTTGGATGATTCCTTCCTCATATCTTGGGTTCTGAACTGAACTAGATCTCTGGGTTGTCCACAAATGGACTGGACCCACTTTGATGGCCAAACAAAACCAGTTTAATCAGGTATCGAACGTGTTTTGCCTCATCCCCACTTGTTGGACATTTAGGTCATCGCAGCATGGCACTATCACAGACAAGAAAGAACAGGAGTAACTGGTTAGAAATGTATTTGAAATTAAGAACAGCATAGTAGGAAAAGTATGTCAGTATCCCAGAAAGTAGGCAAAAACCTTAATGAACATACAAACGACTGCAGAATTTTCCCATGGTTCATCAAAATTACAAATCCAAAAATAACTCGTGATTAAAGTGATCATTTTTACCCCAATCATTGTTATTAATTCCTTTTTATCAAATTGTATTTATTCTAAGTTGTTCTCGGCCACACTGTATGCTGTGTGTAGCAGGAAACGACGTATGGCCTATGACTTGCCCAGAGCTTCTAGTGTTTTCATGCAGTCCACCCTCCACACCCAACATGAAATCAGGATATAAGGTCATTCGTACGGGGAGAAGTTGTCTGTTTTTTCATTTGTCTTCAAAATTGTCTCATGCAGAATGAAGTAATAGAGTAGTGCTCCACAGAGTGGATAATAGTAACATGATGAGAATTATAGGGACAAATTGGTACATCCTTCCATCTTTTAAAATCATGTGCTATCATTTACAGAGATTACATATTTTGATATGGCTCTCATTGTTGTCTTTTAGCAAAACAGAAGCAAAAAGTGGTAAGTTGTGTTTCCTTTTTACATCTTGCTTTAAGGTTCCTATCCGCACATGCCTGCCATGTTCCATTTCAGTGACCCAAATGGCTATAGAATAAGGGATGAGCCTCCTTGGTGGGGACCTGTGGTAATCATTTTGCACTTGACGTGAGAATTACGATTGCTATGGCTGTTGAGAAGGCTTGCTTAGCCTCACCTTGTCACGCTGTCCAATCATCTTTTTCAGACGGAGCACATCCCTCCTTACGATGTTGTGCCGTCCATGCGTCCGGTGGTGTTAGTGGGGCCGTCACTGAAGGGTTATGAGGTACAAATACCAGTCTGTTATGCTTCAGTTCTTGATCAAGAACCTAGGAGGCAGCCTTGGGAACTTGCTCCTCCGGGGTCTGCTTGCATAGAGGTACCGATGGAGCCAATTCCCCAAATGTGAAGGCGGGTGGCACGGTGTGGGGCTCCTGTGGCCCTTCACTCTTTCTTCCCTTTCTGGCAGGCTTCTTATTTTATATGTATCATTTTGCTTAGAAATATCTCCCTTAAAACATTTATGATGGAAAGTTCTGGTCAAGGTTTGCTCTGCATTAAATCCAAAGTGAATATGTGTCTCAACCATTCCCATTACTTTTAGAAATAATCAAGTATGGGGGTGCCTGGCTGGCTCAGTGGCAAAGCATGCAACTCTTGATCTTAAGGTGGTGAGTTCAAGCCCCATGTTGTAGAGCTCACTTTAAAATAATAATAATAATAATAATAATAATTAATAAATAAATAATTGAGCGTGAACAACACAAGAGAACAATGTAGGCAACCTGCCAGCAAACCTAAACCTTCAAAGCACCAACAAACTCCCCTTGCTGGGTGCTCAAGATGATGGCATATCCCACCAAATATTTCTCTCTTATTTATCTCAAGGACACATAGAAGGAAAAGCATTAATGAACTTGTTCAGAGATTACATAATACCACGTAAGAAGGAAAAGAGAGAAGGCTTAGATGTACTACATTTCAGATGTTGCCTTTTTGATTTCTCACTAGCATAGATAACACTCAGTGGGGTGGGACATTAAAATCTGCCTCCCTCCTTCCTCTCCCCCTCCCCTTTGCCTCTCAGTGGGGAATGTCAGAGGAAAAGCAAGGAGAGTGATCTATAGAAATGGAGAATTTCTACCGACATGCACAGAGCAAGTGGCTGAGCCCAGGGCTAGCGGGAAGGGCTCTAGCTGCTCCTCATTGGAGACAAGCACCACTCAGGAGAACCAAGGGCAGGCGGCACTTGCGAGTAAAGCCAGCCTATTGTGGTCTCTTGGCTGCACTTCTAAAACCTAATAAGGGAAGGGAGTCGGCCTTAGGTCTAGTGAACACTGCTGGCTCTTTCCTCAGCACCCTAGAGGACAACCAAGGGGGAAATTTGAGCAAATGTAAGTGGTTAGGCATGAAAAAGCCTTCCAGGATAACCTGCCCTATCCCTCCGAGACAACAGGCTGTGTGAGGTCTTTGTTCAAAGTGCCCTTCCCTTCCACCTCTCCCACTTTTGACTTCTCTCTCTCTCTCTGTCTCTCTGCGTGTGTTTGCCTCATTCTTTTTTTCTCACCTCTGCAAAGGTAACAGACATGATGCAGAAAGCCCTCTTTGATTTCCTGAAGCACAGGTTTGATGGGAGGTGAGACATACAGATGTTTTTGTATTTTTATTTTCCTTTAACCGAACGTGTATGATAAATTGATTTGTGGATCTGTGTTTCCAGCGGTTGCAGAAGTTCTCTAATTAAAAGTTAACTCAGTATTCAGGGAAGAATACAATGAAAGAATTCTGAAGATATGAAGTTATGAAGTATAGACTTGAATCCCCAAGGGAGAAAGGACCTTGAGAAGGAAAATAACCCATTTGTTTTAATTAAATGTATGTGTTTGTCTTTATTTCCTTCTTGTTAGTGAATTCATACCAAACCTATTTTTATGCAATATATTAACGAAAATATAGAATATTTTGATGAATATCGTGACTTGCCGGTCAAGCTGGTAGTATCACTTGGGAACTCTGTGTGTGTGTGTGTGTGTGTGAACATGGGTGTGTGTGTGTGTGTGTGTGTGTATGCATACACGTGTATCACATGAAGGTATAAAAGTGCTGCATTTTCTCAAAAGAAGAGTGCAAGAAATGTTTTCATAAGCCTCCCTAAATGACTGTTTTGTAGAGCATAGTACTTGTTTGGATACTTAGTTCTGGGTTCATTTCACCAGAAATCACCTTGTAGTTTATTGGTGTATTTTGCATGTATCCTATTGTTCATATGGCTCATTCTTTAGCCATCGAATACTTTTGTCATTTAAGTTTTGTGAAAAATGTCTAGAAAGAGTTCCTGTGTTTTGCAGAAAAATGGAAAAAAGTCTATACTGACTTGATACTAAGTACTAAGCTCCTTCACGATGCAGAACGTACTCCTTATAAAAATAACCACATGCAAATAGCAAAGACTTCATAGAAATGAAGAAAAGGTACATAGTGTGTACTGAGAAGTATGGTACACGCATCCAACTTACCAAGTATTTTTTAAGAGCATCAAATGCATTTTGAAAAATATGGTATTTTTTGAGGCACCTGGGTGGCTCAGTCGGTTAAGCATCCGACTTTGGCTCAGGGCATGATTTCGCAGTTCGTGCGTTCAAGCCCTGCTTCCGGCTCTGTGCTTATAGCTCAGAGCCTGGAGCCTGCTTTGGATTCTGTGACTCCCAATCTCTCTCTCTCTCTCTCTGCCCCTCCCCCACTCACATCTGTCTCTGTCTCTCTCTCTCAAGAAACAAACATTAAAAAATTTAAAAAAAAAAGAAAAAAGAAAAATATCGTATTTTTAAGAAAAAAGCAAACAGTGCTTTGAGTACAAACTGTATACATTTGTCAAAGGAAGAGCCTTCTGGGTAATTGTGCTTAAAATATTCATTAGCTTCTAGGACTATATACAAAGAAACTGAGATTTTAGTTCAAGAAATCAGAATGCTTCAGAGCCATTATGTGAATGGCTGAGTACATTAATACAGTGCCAGTCTGCCTTAATAAATAGATCCCCAAATACATACTGATTTAAACACAGTGGGAGATTACTGTTGCTCATTTAACAGTCTGAGACAGGTGTCCCTCAGCTAGGAGGAAGGCGTAGAGTGAGAGAGAGGAGGATTGGGCAGAAAGCTTCTTCCACCCATCATTTGGGGCCCTTGGCCTTAGGGGGGTGGGTCTCTGGTCAGCTGGTGGGGAGAGACACATGCCAGCCTGGACGTGACGCACATGGATCCTCACTTTTCATGGTTACAACTTGGTCACATGTCACACCTAATTACAAAACAGACTAGGAAATACAGTCTAGCCATGGCTCAGGAGGAAGAGGAAATAGATTTTGCTGAACAAATAACCATCTCTGCCACATTCATCTAGTGCACCCAAAAGGCTTACTAATAAAGCCTTGGGTTTATCCTGCTCCTCCTTCTCCCCTCCCCCCATTTTTAAAAAAGAAGATACACAATGAGGTGGTCACAAAGAAAACAAATGAAGCACTGAATACCAGAATATGGGGGTTGGAAAGAAATGTAAAAGTTCTTTTATTCTAATCTCTTTGCTTCAGCAACCGCAAAGAGATGGATAAACTGCTCCTGTTTGAGAATATTTGGTTATTGGGAATTAACTTCTTGAAAAAGCATTGCAAAGAACAGCTGAACTCCCAGCTCTACTTTAATAGCATTGGTCTCGGTCTTGCCTCTGATGACTGGGCCTTACCCTTTACCTTCATGCAGCAGTCTGTGCTTTGTTGACAGCTAACATTCACGGTTCAGTCTTCTATGGTCTTGGTCTCACACACACACTCACACACACACACACTCACACACTTACTCACTTCCCTAAACTGTGCTTCAAGTCACATGGTTTTAGCCCCTGGTGTCTTCAGCTAAGGAAGCTCTGAGCTGAGACCATTGTAACAGTCCTCAAGCTGAACAATCCCATCCCATAACACAGCCAGTTTGTGTTAGATTGTTTCCGTCACCACATAACATCCTTGTAAACAACAATGTTTTTAACTGTCTGAAAGGTAGGACCTAAGGGAACAGAAGAGGGGAATTTTTTAAATGTTACAAAGAAAGTGAATGGCTTAATTACTACTTTCAAAAATGAAGCATCTGAGGTCCTTCCTCAATTTTCAGGCCCAGAAAGAGGAAGTGCATTTGATTGTAACAGCAGAGATTTGTTTTGAGTCAAGTAAAGTTGCCACATCAAGCATTCACACACACTGTTGAAGATAGTTTTAGTAAAATAGAATTAAAATGTCACTGCCAAGCATTCCGTATGGTCTGATGGCACAATAGAGGATCCAGAGGTAAGAGGAGGATTCAAACAGCAGCAAAAGTAATCTCCAGAGAAAGAGAGTCGGCGCTGGAGAGCTCTGATTTATGGCAGAGTTGAAAGAAGATAGACAGGAAAGGTGGGAGTAGCAAAGTGGACTTGGTGTCAGATAATAAGAGGGCAGTGCTGCAGAAAAACCAGTGATGAATTTATTAGTTGAGGGTACGTAGACTCTGATAAGGAAGAAGCCATGTGCTTGTAGCTTCACGCCGACTCTGACACATCTGCTGTGTGGGAAATAGCTTACATTTTGAGCTAAGGCAATCTGCTGTATTCTGTTTTACCAATTAATAAAGAGAGTGAAAACAACAAGTAGTCTTTAACCGAAACCAGCCAAGAGAACAATTACACAGAAGGCTTTAGCACAGTGATACAGCATAAACAGTATGTTCTAATGGAAACCTAATCCGTGTTTCATTGGCTATGAATGCAGTCGGTTAGACAAAATAGTCCAGAGAAAGTCTTACTATTTTTCAGAAAGAGCAAAAAAGGGATCCATTGGCTAAGAGGCTTTCTTCAGTACTGTTTTCCAGATCCTGGTTAGATAGTCATTCAACGAATTGGATTAAAGTTCAGCAGCTTGACTGTTACAAAATCATATACTTGCCCTGTTTTGATACCTGAGAAATTATTTGAGTCAACTGAGAGCTGCTTATTACCCAATTTTTACTTATGTGATTGCTTCTGTAGGGCCTAACTGTAATACGTGGAAGAAAAATGAAAGGCATAGTACTAAATAGTTCCTGAGGAACCCTCATCCACATGCATAATCCACATGTGGTGACAGTGCCTCTGCACAGATCGTAAGTTACATGAGGCTAACCAGCTGGTACAATGGCATCAGCCTGGTGAACACGCAGGATTCACAAGCGTGTGGAGCTTTTCTCTTCACTTTCTACCACAAACATTTGTTGGGGAAAGTTGAGGTATTGGTACGAGGTTTCCTTAGCTGGTTGAATATACGTTCATAGTCAAAACAGCGGGTTCATAGTCAGAATAGCAAGCAGTCGAACCAGCTGCCATTTGTTGAACTACGCTAATCATTTCAAACTCCAATAAAATTGTTGGCTGTAGGCATTTTGACAAGATCAGATCAGCTTTATGGCAGTTATCAAAAACTTTGTAACCAACGTGATTGTGGCCAAAAATCCTGTAACCTTTATAGATAAGATCTAAAGTTAAAGGAAGTCATTAGCCAAAGGCCACTCAATGGAAAAAAGGGTTTGAGGGGTGCTTAGGTGGCTCAGTCAGTTAAGTGTCTGACTCTTGATTTCGACTATGGTCATGATCTCATGGTTCCTGAGTTTGAGCTCTGTGCCAGGACTCTGCCCTGGGTGTGGAGCCTGCATGAGATTCTCTCTCTCCCTCCCCCCTCCCTCTGCCTCTCGTACTCTTTCTCTCTTTCTCTCAAAAGTAAAAATAAAGGGGGAAGATACTTTTTAAAAAATGGTTTGAGACTTTGAAGAAAAGAGGCTGAGAATACAACTTAGGAGACTCGGAGAGGTAGTATTTATTTATAAACAGCAATGGGAACCCTTGATGCTTTCACAGAGCAGCCAAGTCATGGCAGAATGAAAACAACTTGTAGCTGCCGTCAGCAAATGGAAAAGAGCAACACAGCGCCTTCTGTTTCAAAATCAGTATTACCTCTTATCATCTTCTTCTACCATTCTAAGTGGAGACTCATCGGTGGTTAAACACTAGAGATAAGTAATTGAACACTTTAATGCCAAACATGAATACTTAAATTATCAGGTTTTGATTACAACCTATTGACCTGATTCTCTTCCCCTCAAAATCTATATAAATTCCATTGACTCTGGTGGTGGGAGAGTTCGTGGTGGACTGCCATTTTTTGATGGTAGGATATAAAGAAACTGTCCCCTTCAAGTGTTCACATCTCTAGTAATTGTCTTGCATATATTATGTATGTGCCTATCAAACACAGGGGACTATGAATAATTATTTGATAAAGCACTTTTATATTTTGCCTCATTTGCCCCTGCTGGCAGCCCCATAAGATAGTTTGGCAATGCTGCTATCACCATTTTATTTTTATTTTATTTTATTCTATTTATTTCATTTTTTCTAAATATAGTTTATCATCAAGTTAGCTAAAATACAGTGTACACAGTGTGCTCTTGGCTTCGGGAGTAGATTCCCATCAATCATCATTTATATACAACACCCAGTGCTCATCCCAGCAAGTGCCCTCCTCATTGCCCATCACCCATTTTCCCTTCCCCTCTGCACCTCCCCCTTCAACCTTCAGTTTGCCTCCTTCTCTGTTTGAAACTGTTTTTTCTCTATCCCCTCCCCCATGGTCTTCTGTTAAGTTTCTCAAATTTCACATATGAGTGAAAACATGTGATCCCTGTCTTTCTCTGACTGACTTATTTCACTTAGCATAATACCTTCAGTTCCATCCACGTTGTTGCAAATGGCAAGATTTCATTTTTTCTCATTGCCAAGTAGTATTCCATTGTATATATAAACCACATCTTCTTTATCTATTCATCAGTTGATGGACATTTGGGCTCTTTCCATAGTTTGATTATTGTTGATAGTGCTGCTATAAACATTGGGGTACATGTGTCCCTATGAATCATCACTTCTGTATCCTTTGGATAAATTCCTAGTAGTGCTATTGCTGGGTCATAGGGTGGTTCTATTGTTTTAATTTTTTGAGGAACCTCCACGCTGTTTTCCAGAGCAGGTGCACAAGTTTGCATTCCCACCAACAGTGCAAGAGGGTTCCCATTTCTCCACATGCTTGCCAACATCTGTTGTTTCCTGAGCTGTTCATTTTAGTCATTCTGATCAGTATCACCATTTTATTGATTAGGATTCTGATGCTAATCTGACTTGTCCATGGTCACACAACCAGCTAGAGCAAGATCCAGGAAGAATACTCAGGTTTATGTATAGCCTCCATCCCAGTCCTCTTGACAGTGTACTGTTCTGTTCTTTGGAATACTCTTCTCTGTGAATACTAAAAGTTTGCTTTTGTTGTCTTTATAATTAGCGCACTAACAGTGTTGCATACTAGATGTAGCAAGCTTAGAGTATAGAAGGACCTGATAGCTGTTCTGAACCGACCTGAAGTACTAATTATTTTTGAATGGCTATGTTACAACTAAAAGTAATATCTTTTCACAAGAAACAAATACTTATAGGTCATGATAGATTGCATCAGGTATGATGAATTTGAAAACAGAAATAAAGAACAGTTGGGGTTCAGGTTTGCTAGAGTTAGAGAACAGTTTTTGTTAGTTTTCAGTGACATTTGCTTCGAAACCCAGTTTGTTGAGGAGCTGAACTTCTGTTAGCATTAATCTAGTAGCCAGTAACTACTAACACTGCCTCCCAGAAAAGTTTCCTAGGGAACTTTGTGAAAACATATATCAAAAAAGATGCGTGGAAGTACTGGAAGGAATGAGCACAGCAAGAAAAGAAGTAGAAAGGGCATTTTTTAAGTTAAACAAGTAATAAAAATATATAACTAGTATATAAAGTATATTTTTAAAATATATTAAACTTGAAGTATATAAACTAGAAGCAGTTATATTTCTTTCTTTTTTTTTTTTTTAAATGTTTTATTTATTTCTAGGAGAGAGAGAGAGAGACAGCGTGAGCAGGGGAGGGTCAGAGAGAGAGGGAGTCACAGACTGAAACAGGCTCCAGGCTCTGAGCTGGCTGTCAGCACAGAGCCCGACGCGGGGCCCGAACCCACGAACCGCGAGATCATGACCCAAGCGAAAGTCGGAGGCCTAACCGACTAAGCCACCCAGGCGCCCCAAAGCAGTTATATTTCTGAGGAGTCTTTACAAAAAAAAATAGTTTGGATTTGGTTTTTGATTTTGATAAGAGCAAGTATCTTTGCAACAGAAAACAGAAGCCTCTGCCTTTTCTTACCAAAGGGGTTTCTAAGTCTGTGTCTAACTTGTCCTGAGCTCCTTCATGCATGCATGTGTACTTTTATTAAGAAATAACTTGTATTAACAAATTCGCTGGTATTTTGTTGACAAATAAAACAAGAAAAAGTACCCTATATTGTGCATACCTTTTTCTTTTTGGAGACTATATGAAGCAGGTATGAATGTGTGTGTGTGTGTGTGTGTATTTGTCTGTGTGTGTGTGTGCACGTGTGCTATTGTTTGCTTTTTTGTAAAACTTGTAAAATCTTATAAAACTATTTATGTGTTGGTATGGTGGTAATCCTTTCAAATTTTAAGAACCAAGGCTCACTATTTGGCTTGTATAGAACTAGAAAATTTTAGGGGTGCCTGGGTGGCTTAGTTGGTTAAGCATCCGACTTTCGCTTAGGTCATGATCTCACGGTTCGTGGGTTCGAGCCCCGCGTCAGGCTCTGTGCTGACTGCCAGCTCAGAGCCTGGAGCCTATTTCAGTCTGTGACTCCTTCTCTCTCTGACCCTCCCCTGCTCACGCTGTCTCTCTCTCTGTCTCCTAGAAATAAATAAACATTTAAAAAAAAAAAAAAAAGAACTAGAAAATTTTATTTCCCATAAGCAGAATAGACTTTTGGGGCCCTCCGAAGTCTTTATTTTAGAAAGTTGGATTCTGCTTTTCATTTAACCCATCATCTCCAGTCATAAATTTGAATTGCTCTGGAATTTGTATGTTTCTAACCAGCAACTCTCTCCTTAAAACAACACACACACACACACACACACACACACACACACAAATGAACAATCTCTATTCTGTAAATAAAAGAAGCTGTGAACACAGGATGCCTATGAGATTTCACACCTCAAGTTGAAGGCCAACTGAGTAATGCAGACTCAGACATGGGGTCCACTTGACTTTAACCTCACAGAAGTCCTGACCAATTCTCTGCTCATGCCCAAGATCGATGACACCTGTGCTTGATGATTTGGCATGCATCTGGGGCTTTGGGGTGTCTGGAGAAGAAAACTGAAACTCTAAAAGACTTATCAGTCAGGTGACTAATTACTGGCCTGGTGCTTGGGGGCCTGTGTTTCAGGTCTTCTTAGTCTGTAACTAATCATGTGGAACTTCCTCTCTGTCTCCGTTTTCTTGGTAAAATGAAGCAGTTGTACTTGACCAGTGTTTCCCAATGTCTTTTAGCAGTTGAACAGTTTTTTACATGAAATCATATATAAAACCCCAATGTAGGAAACAGAAATGCAGAGGTGTTTGCCTGACATGGAAGGTAGGAACGGTGGAGCTCTGTCAACTCAGCCTCCCCTCAGTGTTTTTGGTGACCTGGACGTATTTCACAAAACTCTTCGTTTTTGTAGAAGATAATATGAAGATGCCTCAAATAATGTACTAGTGATTAAAGATTCTAAAAAATTTAAGAATTTAAAACTCACCGACCATCTACAGCTTATAAATCCAATACAATGACACAAGAAGGTGCTTTTGTTAAAATGGCATCAGAACTTTTGGACAGCTTGTGGCTTTAAAGAAACAATTTCCAACCATTTGTGAAAAGGAATATTTTAAGTTTTCCTTAAGGCTTTGGGTCACTGAAGTCAGGTGAAGAGTCTCCTGAGAGTGCTAATAGTTTACCAAAATGATGACTCAGTAATGGATAACAACTCTACCTCTTCCCTGCTCCAGTTCCTAAAGGAATATAAAAATGAAGGCAAATGGGTGCACTGAGCATAGAGGGAAGGGGCACTACTCTCTTGTCTCCATTCCAGAACTCTGCCAAAGCTCTGAAAATGAGAATGGAGAAAGGTCCACGGTGGCAGTAACTGGCTTAGAGAGGCATGCTTTGCATTCTACAGGTAGATAATAGCCTGAAATTGATCAATCCCGGTTTGAAAGAAGAAATTTAAGACTGTAAATTCCAGAGATTCTTATTTGATGAATCATATGCAGATAGACTCCTCTCTCTGTTCATTTGCAACGTCTTTGCTTTATTCTTCACTTGAATAACTGCAGGAAACTTTCTGACTTGCCAGAATCCTGGCACAATCCTCACATTGCCCTCAACTACAGTGTTTTATGGCTTCCCACTTTATGCTTTCAAAGTCTTAAGCAAATATGCTGACAGATCTTGTGCGTGCAGAAGTCCTATTTTCCATATTCTTCTAAATGAAACATTCCTTTGGGCTCGTGGAGAAATGCTTCTTGTATCATGAATTAACTGTAAAGCACCAGGAATGCAACATCACTACCGACTGGTTGAGTGTCGGTGAAAACAAAGAGGGTTTTCCCCTCTGGTTGATACGCCTGGGCAGAACATTTGTAGTTCCTGAAAGCTTTGTTCAAGAGCAAAGTGACTGAATTGTAGGGAAATTGTATTGCGGTTTCCTGGAAAGAGCACGGTTTATTCACATGTTTTAATTCCCTCCTGGTGCAATGTGTGTTATAAAGAGAATATGGCAAGGTAGACAGTAGTGGAAGAAGGGCTTTGTTTGTAACCACAGGTTTGTTTTTCGTTTTGGTTAAATAGCCTGAACGTTCCTCCATTATACCTGGCTTATATTTTAATACTAGCCAAAGCCTGTTTAAAATACTTGTGGCAAATGTTCATTATACTGAGGTTACAATGCAGTATGTAGAGTGGTTATTAAATACTGTGGTTATAAATCACTTGAGAGCCCCATAACACTTCTACTGGCTTGTTCTGTTCTGTGTTCCTATTCATAGGATATCAATAACAAGAGTGACAGCTGACATTTCTCTTGCTAAGAGGTCTGTCCTAAATAATCCCAGCAAGCGAGCAATAATTGAACGTTCAAACACTCGGTCCAGCTTAGGTAAGATGTTCAAATATGGTACTTCTCCAAGCTATGTTTTCAGAGTGGGATGACACATGTTTCCTTGTGAATGTCTTTTCCAATTTGCTCCCCATTCTGAATGGGGAAGTGCTGATTAACCGAAGAGAATGCTATCCATGGAAGAGAAGGGAGCAAAACCCTTCAACAGCCAGAGCCTCCTCTCTCTCAGCTCTAGTCAATTAGTGAATCAGTAGTCTGGTGGGAGGATCCTCAGTGGGCTCCCCTGGTCTGTTACTGCCTAACCACGTGAAACCACTCATCTCTACTCTGCCCAAGCTTCTCAATGAGGCTAATGATAGATCATACCTGATTCACAGCTCACGTGAAAAGAAATGAGATGTTCAACTTTCTCAGATCTTTAGAAGAAAGCTAGATAATGGTGTCTTAGTATTGCTTCTGCTGCTAGCTGATAGTACCCAGAAGAGTCACAACTTTAAGTGGAAATAGCAATGGGCATGAATAACATGTAGGGAGTTTAAATGTGTCTTTCCTGGAGCAGTAGTTAGAAAGCATTCACCATGATGGAAATTCACCATGATGGAGAAAGGAAAAATGCCTTATGTGGTTAGCTACGTAATGGCCATGTTATGAGCAGGGCTGTGGAAGATGGAATCACCATCCACAGAAACAAGTCCCCATTGCTGGGGAATAGTGACATTCATCTCAAAAGCCTGTTTGTGGTCGCTATGATTGTCAAGAGTGGTGCAGTCTGCTTATAAATTTCTGGGAGAGTCTTTTGCATTCACATTCTGAGGGCAGTTTGTTTTACTGACTCCTCCCTCATGAGCAAAGTAGGAAAGATAATGGCCTTTATGTCACTACATTTTCTTAAATTACTGAGGTGATGATAGACACAAAAAAATTCCAAGATAGCTTGCATGCCTAAACGTTCCATCAAGAATTTCTCGAAGGCTATACCTTGACCCTGCACTAAGAATTGTACCAATTGGAAAGAGGCTAGAAAGTATCCTCTGTATATACCTGGCATGGGATTGGCACATGGTAATTGTTCAATAAATGTTTGCTGCATGATTGCTTTATGAAAAGAATGTTAAACATACCGAATGAATAGTCGTTAGTCTGTGTGAAGGCAAGAGCTTGGACATCAGTGGTTCTTTCCTTAGTCTTGTATTTAGAACCCTCACATATGGAGTGAAACACTCTAAGACAGTAATTTTTGCCTTGAGGAGGTAACAATGGAAGAATTGATGATGATGAATCAGATTAGGTGACTAAAGTTAAATGCTGTGGGAGACAAGGATGCCAAATTAGATTGAAGATTTCTTAAACAAGCATCTGTTCTTTGTTCTTACGTCTTCCACTCTCCTTGCTCCACGAAGTGCCTTTGACTTTTAATTACTCCTTCCTCAGATGTATAATGAGAGACTAAAAACACTTAAAAGCATAAGCAAGGTTGCCTGACTCTAACCATCTACACCAGTCAAGGGTATCATGGATATTCTTTGAAGTCATTCTGTGTGATCTAGTCACCTGTTTCAGTCCGTGGAATGGAGTTAGTATAAATATTGACGAAGAAACAAGGTGAATGTCAGTTCATTGTTTTTTCCCTTGGCTTTGTAAATCCATATACCTATAGCCATCGGAATTAATTTAATGGGAGTCTGTAATAATAATCACTATGTGAGCCACTTATATCCATTTGCCTGCTTGTTTATCCACATTTGTAGACTTCCTCATCACATGGTGGTTGTTATATGCCATGAATTATGCCAGACTTAGTAAGTACAAACATAACAAAGACAAAGTATCTTACCCATAAGCCAACAGAAATAAAGAAAGGACAGATGGTTAAAATACGGTCTGATAATAGATTTATGAACAAAGAGCTAAGGGTATAAAGAAAGAAGGGTGGGGAGTAAGAGGTGAAAGAGAAGACTTCGAAGAAGTTCTGTTTGAGCCGGTTCTTCATGGAAGACAAGAATGTGCAAAGGCATCAGCATGTACAAAAACACTGCATAGGTGATAAAGAAGTAGTTTGTGCACAGCACACTTAAAAAAGGAGAGTGGGGAGCATGGTTTGAGAGTAACAGGGGGAGAGACTGAAAAAGTGGGTTGAGGCCAGCTTGTTAGGGCTCTAGTATGCCTTGCTAAAGAAACCTCCAAGGTAGATTCTATGAAATGTGGATTCTAAAAGATTCTAATTGTTGTTACATTCAAACTGTTTTCCTTAGTCAAATAAGTTTGGAAATTTGGATTAAACAATTGGCAGATTTCTTTACTGCAAGACTTCGAAGAGCCATTAAGATACAAAGGGTAATTAATGCACGTTTGAAATTCCAAAAGAAATTATTATAGCTTGCAAAAAAAAAAAAAGTCTCTTTTCCCCTTAGGGTATCTTATGGGATTAGTGTTCCAGGGTATTCATTTTGGGAAACGTTGTTTTGAACCCAAAGGAGCCACTGAAGTAGTTTAAGCATTTGGATATAAGAAAGATCCAGGTGTCAGAGGTGCTAGAGAGAGGTGGGTCTAGATCAGTTATGGTCAAGTTATAGAAGTGTTCATCAAGGTCCCTCCAGCACTATAGTCCATAATTTCTCAGAGCCCCATTTTTCTGGAATAAGATCATGGTGAGACTTCCATTGGAACCTTCTGAGAATCAGCATGGAAAGTCAGGATTGTTGGGCTTGCCTCAAGGTTTTCTTTAAGAAAATGAGCTATGTAGATATATATGCCATTCTCTTTCTCAGACAGTTTATGTATTGAATTCTATATACCTATTATCCAAATATGGACCCACTCTAGTATATAGTACAGCGCCTTGCAGCCTCCTGGCTTGCTTGCCGAGCAACTCTCCACTCATGCTGGAATGCTATTGTCTAAGAGTTCTGTGTTGGCTAAGCAGTAGATGCGCTTGCCCTCTGCACAGGTCAAAAACCACACTTACCTCATTGCTGGTGTAGAGTAAATAAGGCCCAGGCATTTCTGAGTTATTTACACAATGTGCCTCAAGGGTTCTTGATACCAGAGCAATCCAGTTTTCATTACTGCCTTTTTGCTACTTGAGAAAATATTATATACAGATTTGAAACTTAAAGCAGCACAGACTTGTTGTACAACAGTCCTGGCCAGGAGTTTGCCTTAAACTACTGGCCATTTAGTGACAACAACAAATGGAGAACACACCCCAATAGCCTGAGGCCAAAATCTACTACAATAAAAATAAAATTTATTTTCCAAACTTCTCTCATAAAAAAGATGTCTTTTTTTAAAAAAAAATGTTTTTGACATGTGAGAAAAAAAGGACAAGTATGTTATTTATTATTGACAAATGTAGTATGTGACTTCAGAAGAATTTTGCAAATAAGCCTAGTTGTCCAGATTCTTTACATAGATACCTTGAGAGCTAGTCGCGATTCAAAAGTAACGTGAAATCTTTTAGACCATTGGAATTGGATACTATGAAAAATGATAGCTATGTTGACTCTCTGATTTCATATTTCTAATACAAATCATGCATTAAACATCAGTGATTTGGTGGGAAATAAGAATTTTATGCTCTTATGCAGAGCCTTCCAAATTAGAGTTGCATGATAGTCTTGAACATCCATGGTCCCACACACCTTGTCCGTATGTTTGGTTATGGAAGGGAGAAACTTTTGGTGGGTGACATGAATTTGAATGTATACTGGATAAGCAAAACAAATCATGACATTCTGGTAAAAGCAAATGAGTATATTTAAAGCAACATCACCTGTTTCTTGGACCATCTTTGAAGTAATTTAAATTAGGTAACTTTGTCCTGTGTAATTTAAATGAGATTACCACATTGCTGGATCATGCCTATAATAAATAGGCCAAAAATAAAAATAGGTAAAGAGCAAACCAAAGATCATCTCTCTGAAAATTAAGTAGTCTAATTCAGACTTTGGACATGACCCAATAAATCAAATGATTTATAAAATATATGTGAAAAAGCTTTTTTATGTTTTAGAAACCATATTACCTATTATTTATATAGGTAATCTGTTTTGCTTTAAAAATAGCTCGAGTGCTTCAGACAAATAACTAGATCTTTTTATTTGACCAGATTCACACAGAGATTTGGATTGCTTGGTTATTAGAACCAGTTGAATAGATTGCATTCTCAAGGCATGGCAGCATTTATAATATAATTGGCCTTAGTTGTTTTTCTTTTTAATACTGAAGATAATGCCTTAGAACAGTGTACTGGCCCTAATACTTGAATTAAAGCATAGCAATATGTTAATGTAAGTGTAACAGAACACTTAACCCTGGATACAACAATGTGCATATCAGTCAAAATATATGAATTGTGGGATTTTTTAAAAAAAAGTCATAAAATATCAATGTATAAATTCTTGATTAGCTGAAATATTTTAGTGTAATTTGCTTTCCATGCAATGTTGCTCTGCATGTATTTCAATTCTTTCCTAATTGTGGTTTTAGCTACAATAAAAGTTCTTTGGAATAAAGCAACAATCAAAAACAACATAGTTATATAAATAGCTAAACATCAGGGCAAGTGTAAGAAGTGAGTCAAGAGAGCCATCTCTTTTTTTTTCCACCAATATTTTGGTTTTATGGAAAACTCAACCCATCTCCCTCTCTTTAGGAAAGATCTTAAGTTAATAGAAGTATGAAATTCAGAATGTCCTTGTTGTGCAATATAGACAAACATCCAAAAGGTTTTAAATGGGTTTAAGTAGAAGAACTAATTAATAAAAATAACTGTGTCCTGTTATGTATAATTTCTCATTTTAGCGGAAGTACAAAGTGAAATTGAAAGAATCTTTGAGTTGGCAAGATCTTTGCAACTGGTTGTTCTTGATGCAGACACCATCAATCACCCAGCACAACTTATAAAGACTTCCTTAGCACCAATTATTGTTCATGTCAAAGTTTCATCTCCAAAGGTAATTACCTCATTTCTTCCTTAAGGATTAGAAGCTCATTTCTTTCGATATATTCTTTGCTCTATGCTTTTTTTGTTAGTAAGGAGGATACCTTATTGAAACCCTTTTTAATGGGCAGCTTTTAATTCCTGCAGTCTGTACAGCTTCTAAAAATCCAAAGATAGCAAATAAAGAATAGCCATTGTTTTAACTTTTTTGTTTTATTTATTTCTTAGAGGGAGAGAGAGACAGCACAAGCAGGGGAGAGTCAGAGAGAGAGGGAGATACAGAATCTGAAACAGGCTCCAGGCTCTGAGCTGGCTGTCAGCACAGAGCCTGACGCGGGGCTCGAACCCACGAACCGTGAGATCATGACCTGAGCCAAAGTCGGACGCGGAACCGACTGAGCCACCCAGGCGCCCCAAGAATAGCCATTGTTTTAAAGAAGATCCCTGTCTGTTGTGGTTCCCTAACCGGGCGGTTTTACAAGAGTATAATAGAAACAAAAAATTAAGAAAGGCGAGAAAAAGTGAAGTATGGCTTTTCAGAGACTTTATGTTCTGTCCTAGTAAATGTCTTGGGTAATATTGATTCTTGTAGCACCTATATTCTCTCCCCAGTTGAGAGAGTAGATAGTTCAAGAAAGGAATCTATATTTATCATATATAAAGTCAAACATTACTGTATAGAATCTATTATGGAAAAGTAACAGATGTGTATATATATGCTTGGGTTGGCTTCTTTAAGGAAGAAGATATGCTGTGATTAAATATAATGGGATATCTGCCATGTGTATGCCCCAAAGGTAGATAAAAATAAAAGTGAGACAGCCTCAAACTGGTCTCTTTTGATTTGAGTGTTCTTTCATTTTTAAGAAGTGATGATATTTTAATAAGTTAATATGAAATAGATATTCTAGAGAGGTACTGCTTATTTTCAGTGCCTCCAAGAGTGCAATTTAGTGCTAAAATGCCAGTTCAGCTTCCAACCAGTCATCTCTCACAGGTGGAGAAAGTTATGCCCTTCCCTAACCCCTCAGCTTTCCATCTCTCTGGGCACTGATTCTGCACGGAGTGAATTTGGGAATCCTGACCAAACCTGGGCCTTTGGAGAACCATTATAATGGACTGAAGTTGCGTTGACCACCCGGAGGTCTATATGGTCCAGAACTGAAGGAGATTCAAGCACCCTTCACTGCAGTAGAATAGATTTTGACCTCTATCACCCCCTGCCCCAGTCACTAGGGGGTCATTAAGTGTAGGAACAGGAGCATCTATGGACATATACACTAAGGTATCATAGAGCCTCACTGACTAGTACTGTTTTGGGGGGAGGACCCTGTTTCAGCTAAAAAAAAGTCAGGGAGAGGGGAGTATATGGCAAATGCAGTTATAACAGTGCCCAAATGACACAGGTTTTCACTGGTTTGTATGTAGCAGTATGCCAGTACAAATATTTTGCCTAGATTTCTATCATAATATCATCTTATTAATGTAAAGTTAAACTGGAACACCTTAATAATTATCAATGACCAAAAGAACCAAATATATTAATGACTGATATTTTTTCTGACATTAAGATAGTGGACTAAAATATTACTTAACTGAATATGGACATAAATGACCTGGTACAGATCAGTTCCTACACGTTTGCAGGGCTCTCTTTGAAATCTCTGGGTAATATCTAGGGCGGGAACTCAAGATCCCACCAAGCCCTCCCACAGAACGAGAGTAGGATGAACACGTCAAATCCACTATAACTGAGAGCCAGTGTAAGTGGGTGATGTCATTACAGAGTTTACATATATGGTTTTTCATATTGTATTTCCTCTCTATTAATACTCAGAGCTAAACAGACTATAAAAAAGATCTTGGGTTGTTTTTTTTTTTTTTTAGTTTTCTCTTAACTTGTTGATTTATGGCTTCTTCTCTCAGGTTTTACAGCGGTTGATTAAATCTAGAGGGAAGTCCCAAAGTAAACACTTAAATGTTCAACTGGTGGCAGCTGATAAACTTGCACAGTGTCCCCCAGTAAGTACTGTAATTTTTTGTCTTAGTCATTCTTGCCTAGACAGGAGACAGTAGTGTTTTTTGTTGTTGTTGTTGCTGTTATTTGTTTTCATATTACCGTTGTCATTTTTGTTCTAGAATGATGGTGATGACATGTTGTCATAAACATTTTTCAAACTAACTGCTGCTGTCATGTTGGCTACACTCAGGCATCTGGAAATGAGTGGTGTCTGCCATGTAGTAAGAACTTAACCTGATGTTCAGGGTCTGATGTCCTTGCCTGCTACCTTGATTACCTTGCATACGCTCAGCAAACTGCTTAATCCGGTCATGTTGACACTTTTATGAAAAGAGAAGAAAAATAAAACATACTGATTTGACTTTTCTTTAACTTTTCAGCCAGGAAGTTCCAGTAGGCAGAAAAGATATAACCTCACAGGTTGAGAATTTATGGGAACAAGAAGAGCCCTGTGGTTATAGCAGATAAAGAAGAGGTCAGGGTTAAGTAAGATGAAAAATCATATAGCAACTCTGCTCCTAGTGCCATTGCCAGAAAACAGCTGCTGAGTTGGAAGCCAAGAAAATGGCAGAGATTTGGGTGGGTGTTGGGGGAGATAACTGCTATCATATGGGTCACCAGGGGCTGATCAGTGTCTACACCTGCTCTGCTGATTTACTACTTCTGTGCCTGTGTTTCTCTAAAGGAAATAACGGTCTTTCCTACTGAGTTGATTCACTAGATTTTTTTATGTACTTGTGTAAGGATCATTTATGCTCTGTGGAAGCATAAAATCTTATTCGGATGTTTAGAGAGACAAGACAGCAGAGCTGTAAAAAGTATGGATTCTGGAGCCAAATTGCCTGTTGTTCAAATACACACTAGTTATGTAATCTTCAGCAAGTACCTATCTCACTGGCTTGGTATAAAGATTCAACGGGTGAATCTTAGCTCTAAGAACAGGAACTGGCACATAATAAGAACCATGTAGATGTTTCTGTTATAATTATTGGATGTACTTTGCATTGTGCCATGCCTAACCTGTCAGTAAATATTTTTTGGATGAGTGAGTAAATGAAAGGTGATAAGAATATGTTGCATCCTTTTATTGGATAGGCCAGATACTATGCTAGATGCTACATAGATTATCTCTAATCTACACCGTTATCTAGTAAGGTTAGGCAATATTATCCCCATTTCATAGATGAGGTGACTGAAGAGAAGTTAAATGATTTTGCTAACGTCACACAGCAAATTAGGATTAGATTAGATCTATCTGGCCTCAAAGCCAGTTTCCGGCCCTCACAGTCCACCCACCTGTACACACACCTGGTTACTGGTCCACAGATAATTTGGATAGCTTGGAGTCTGGAGTGCTATGTTAAGAAGTGTAACTACACATGGCCTATGAATGAAGCCCACTTGCAAAATGGAATGTATGGTTAAAGCACTGTGTGTGTATTGAAGAATGTATTACCCAGCCCCAACTCTATCATCCTTATCAGCTAAAGGAAGTTAACCTTTATTGAGCAGCTACCAAAAACTAGGAACTATGCTATTGTTTCCAATTTTTAGAATAGTCTTATAAAGAGACTTGCATCAGTTTGGGCCTTCTGGGAAGAGACACCTAAATAGAGTTAGAAGTGCAAATTTATTGGAGAAAGTGCCTGAGAAAGGGGGCAGAACAAGCCGGGAAAGCCTTCCAACCAGACGTTAAGTCTGATCTCATGAAAGGAAAGGAGGAAGGAAGGAGAAATGGAGAGAAGGAGTCTCAGACTGAGATGCAGCATTCTTCCATGTTTGTCACACATTGGCAGAAATGTCCAGGCTCTAGTCCCCATGCTGTGCTCAGGCACTGGCTAGGAGCAGCCTGTGGAGAGCATGGCCTTGACCTGAATACTGTAGTGGTTCTGGAAGGTGCCACGGCCCTCTAACCCCCGCCCCAGGCTATTTGCTGACTACAAGTTTTCCAGGAAATCTGAGCATGGACCTCTAAGACTACCCTAGTAGATAACACTATCCCTACTCTCTAGAAGGGAAAGCTAAGTCCCTGATCAAGAAGCTTGTTGGAGGTGACAATTAGTAAATGAGCCCAAGTTCAACCCTAGATCTGTCTGACTCCAACAAACCTGTTTGTTGTCCCACTCTACACAGAGCTGTGTAGTGTAGATGAATCTTTGGTGCCAACTTTGCTGTACAAGACATCTCTTCAGGGCAGAACAAAGAACTGGGCAGGGGGGTGGGCAGGGAGTGGTTGATGAGGAAGTTGAGGGAGTTGGGGGATAGAATTCCAATTCAGACAACTGTTGGCCATGTCTATGTGGCCCTTAAGGTTGGATGTTCTGCTTCAAACCTCATCTGGAACAGGGAATCTTTAGATAAGCCCCTCCTCTCTGGGACATGGCAAGAGAGTTCCTTCCTATTCTGTGTCTGGGTGAGGGGAGGTGTCTCCCTCTTTTCCCCTCCTGTTGCTATTAACGGAACTTCCTCTTTGCTTTTGTTGTATCTAAAAGCATCCCCGCCTTCTTTTGTTTCCTGAGTCAGTTAGCAAAATCTCTCCAACCAATTTATTTTTTTAATTTATTTTTTTAAATCCAGTCCTTTTTTATTGTATTTTTTTTTTTTGGTTTTATTTATTTTTGAGACAGAGAGAGACAGAGCACGAGTGGGGGAGGGGCAGAGAGAGAGAGGGACACAGAATCTGAAACAGGCTCCAGTCTCTGAGCTGTCGGCACAGAGCCTGATGTGGGGCTCGAACCCACAAACCATGAGATCATGGATCGAGCCAAAGTTGGATGCTTAACTGACCGAGCCACCCAAGTGCCCCTCTCCAACCAATTTAGGCTTTTGGGAAACAAAACCCAGGAAGGGAAATGGAGAGCTGGCAATTTCCTGCCGTAGTACCCCCCTGCCCTCCCCATCCTCCGCCCTGAGCAAGGAAGCCCAGACCCTGCCACCTGCATGAGTGGTAAAAAAGAAAGGGGGAAAATACGAAAGGGAAAACACAGATTAATATCTCAAAATTGGTCATATCTACCTTCACAGAGTAGAGTGTAGAAGGGTCTACACTGTGCAGGCAGCCTAGTCCTGTGAGGACCCTCAGGTGGCCCCAAGATCTGCAGAAGTTTTGGGAGCAGATCTGTGTTGACTAGAGAGCAGATAGGCCTAATTTCACTGGACAGAATGAGCAGACTCCTCCACCAGGAGCAAGATCTTTTACAAGTCTACTCAAATGCAAACACCAGGAAGAATGGGATGACTTTCTAAGTACTGAGCTCCTAGTCTCTCACTGAATTCATTTGGAATTAGGGTGGAGGTGGAGTGGCCTCTAGAAACAGATGTCAAGATGTGGGAGGAATCTCTTCTGGTGAAGTCTGAAGGACATGGTGTCTAAGACCCTTCTCAACTGCAAGACTGATTCTATCTAGATTTTGGAAGTAATCAGTGTAGAGATGTTAGGGAAACCATGAAGGCTATGGAGCCCAAGGAAGAAGAGAGTATTAAAAAAAAAGAAAAAAAAAAAAGGCAGAATATATGTCAAGGAAGGTGATATCCTCATGGTTTCAAAATGTCATTAAGATAGATACTTCTCCAGAACTATCCGTGAGCATGTCTGAGGACACGGTATCCATGTCACCATATGGTTAAATCAGACAAACTCAAAATATTTGGTCATCTCAATTCATTGTGGCTCACCTGCAAGGATTACATGTAGCAAGTATTATTTATGGATTAGGCCTTTTACCTTGTTAGGGATTCAAAGGCATGTTCCTGCCTTCAAGGACTGTACAATCTAATAACATTACAGTCGGCTACAAAGAGCAGAATCAGACTCAAATACAGAGAACAAACTGAAGACTGCCAGAGAGGATGCAGGTGAAATAGGTAAAGGGGATTACAGGGTACAGACTTCCAGCTGTAAATAAATATAAGCCATGGGATGAAAAGTACAGCATACGGAATGTAGTCAATAATTTGTATTAGCTTTGTATGGTGACGGATGGTAACTGCACTTGTGGTGAGCATGCTGTAATGTCTATAATTGTCAAATCAGTATGTCCGGCACCTGAAGCTGATAAGATACGTCAACTACACTTCACTTTTTAAAAAATAGATAGCAGTTGACTACATCAGCTCTTAGCAGGCAATTTGGTAGGTCACAAATATCCTTACAGATACTACTTTGTAAATCTCTTACAGATTAATAGTGGTGTTTTTAAGTTTTATTTATTTAAGTAGTCTCTACACCCAATGTGGCATTTGAAGTCACGACCCTGAGATCAGGAGTCACGTGTGCTTCCACCTGTGCCAAAAAAAGTGGTTCAGATCAGGGTTTCTCCACTTCAGCACTATTGACATTTTAGGTTGGATAATTCTTTGTTATGGGAACCTGTCCTACGTGTTTAGCAGCACCCCTGGCCAGTAACAACTCCAAACTGTGACCACCAACAGTGTCTCTAGACATTGCCAAATGTCCCTTAGGGGAAAAAAAAATCACTCCTGGTTGAGAACCACTGGTTTAGGTTATACACAAGTTTTGGTGAATGATGTTTTTGTTTTGCTTTGTTTTGTTTTGTTTTGCTTTATTTATTTTTTGAGAGATAGAGACAGCGTGAGCAAGGGAGGGTCAGAGAGAGAGGGAGACACAGAATCTGAAGCAGGCTCCAGGCTCTGAGCTGGCTGTCAGCACAGAGCCCAACGCGGGGGTCGAACCCACGAACTGTGAGATCATGACCTGAGCTGAAGTTGGACGCTTAACCGACTGAACCACCCAGGTATCCCTTAGAGGTCTTAGAAAGTGATTGCTTGAGATACATTCTAGGTGAATTAAACATGTTTCTTTTTAGTTTGAGCTTTTTATGCGAATGAGTTTGTTAACATTTATTCCTCATAATTATTAGGGAAAATACTCATGTCCTATTAAAATTGAGGCATTTTAGCTTCTGAGAGGGCTGACAATTGAATAATTGTGTATATAATGCATCTGTTACCTCTAAAATGGCTGGAACCAAGAAGCTATAGG